CCTCTTTACCCTGTGTCTTTTTTCCATGGTCAGATGTGTCCTAACTATCTGGCACTAGGAGGTGCCACGGGTTCACCTTTCCCTGTCCCAGTCCTAGAATCAGACACTGTTCCAAAGAAACAAATATTTCAGCCTGGCATGGTGACACATGCTGTGGCCAAGCACTCAGGAGACAGGGTAGAGGTTGGAAGATTGCCACAATTTCAAAGACACAGTGGTTCTCAACCTGTGGGCTGTGACCCCTTCATCCACCCTGTATATCAGATGTTTATGCTACAATTCGTAACAGTAGCAAGATTACAGTTATAAAGTAGCAAGGAAAATGATGTTATGATTGGATGTCACCACAACATGAAGAACTGTATTATCGGGTGGCAGCATTAGAAGACTGAGAACCACTCTGGACTTGTTCACTAATGTAATGTGTTCCAGGCCAGCCAAGGCAGCATAGCGACACTTTGTCTCAAAAGAACCAAGAAACCTAAACAAAAGAGTATTTTTAAAACAAGCTAATAATACAAACACATTGTGCTACATTTGAAAGCCTTATTTAAATACATTGTACCACATTTGAAAACCTGACTTGAAAAAAAGTTAATTGGCCTGGCAATGGTGGTGCATGCTTTTAATACAAACACTAGGGAGACAGAGGCAGGCAGATCTCTGTAAATTCGAGGCCAGAGGCCAGCTTGATCTACAGAGCGAGTTCCAGAACAGCCAGGGCTGTTATATAGTGAAAACTTGCCTAGGAAAATCAAAGAAAAAAAAGTTAATTGTTCAGTTAGGAACACTGGCTGCTCTCCCAAAAGACAAGGGTTTGAGTCCCAGCACCCACATGGTGGCAGCTCACAGCAGTCTATAACACCAGTTCTGAGGGATCCAACACCCTCTATTGGCCTCTGTGAACACTGTATTCGTGTAGTATACAGACATACATGCAAGCAAAATACCCCCCCCCAAAAAAATATACTGCCAGATAGTAGTAGCATACACCTTTAATCCCAGCACTCAGAAAGCAAAGGCAGGCAGATCTCTGTGAGTTCAAGGCAAGCCTGATCTACAAAATGAGTTCCAGGACAGCCAAGGTTACACAGAGAAATCCTGTCTGGGAAAAAAAAAAAAAACCTTAGTTTTTTTTTTTTTTTCCTTTTTTATTAAAACATACACTGAGTGGTGGTGGCGCACGCCTTTGATCCCAGCATTCAGGAGGCAAAGGCAGGTAGATCTCTGTGGGTTCGAGGACAGTCTGGTCTACAGAAGGATTTCCAGAACAGCCAAGGCTGTGAAACCCTGTCTTGAAATTAGATAGATAGATAGTTAGATAGATAGATAGATAAATAGATAGATAGAAAAACATACACCAGATGCTCAGCAGGTAGAGGCACCTGATGCACAAAGCCTGACAACTTGGATCAATCCTTGGATCCCACATAAAGATTCAGAACACAGGAAGGTTCTTTCTTGGCTTGCAGGAGTCCTAGCCACTCTATAGCCACTCAGTGAAGGCATGAGAATCACTGTTCATCCCTCTAGAGAAGGCTCAAGTTCCTTTGTCATCCCCAGACTGAGCTGGAATCATTTACGGGACCTTTCCCTCTCCAGTCTTCCCCATTTAGCCCTAAGTGGGCTAAACAGTCCAGAAGTTTCTAGACCTTCTTCAGGTGACAAAGGGCATGATGACTCTAGGAAGGAAGTGGCAAAGCCTAGCTTCCAAGACAGGCATGCAAGAGGCAGAGTGGGATGTGGGTTTGGGATAAACAGATCCATAGGGATCCTGAGAAATTGGCCAAGGCTTGCAAAACCCAGTTGTAAACGGAGCATGGCTTCTCAGGAGCAGCCAGGGCTTTCTGCAGAAGAGGGTGTCTCAGGAAGGAGTCATCATCACAAACCGGAAGAGAGGGAGACTGTGGCTTATGGGGAGATGCATGACTCATTGCTGGCCCTGCCAGCTGCCTCTGTGAAGTGCTGGACAGCACAGGGCTTGGGAACACTAGTGGGAACCCCTGTCTAGTCCCCTCACCAGAGGGTGACCCAGGCAGATGAAGTAGTTCTTACATTTTCACCATCTAAAAGGTGGTTGCCATAGAGAATGATACCCACTGTCACTGAGCACAGATGAAAGAGGGGATGCAAGAGAAGAGGGTACAATGTGCTGAGTTCAACAGGAATGACCATGCGCATGCCACATGCCCAGCACCCGCCATGATCTGGCGCTCAGCAGGGAGGCTTTGGATTCCCTCTTTGTTCAGCCCTCCAGTATAAGTAAATAAGACCAGGAACCAGACAATCGCATGCCTACATGTTTTGGTGACATTCAGTAAGTTCAAGGAACAACCCCAGGACCAACTAGCCATATGTACTTCCTCCTCCTGGCAACTTCCCAAAGCCTTCACAAAAGCAAATATCCAAGGGAGATGGATGCAGGAGAGAAAGCTACAGAATTTCCAGCCCCACCAACTTGGGGCCTTAACTTTACTCTTGCCAACCTCTGAGAGGCATTTTCTCAACTCTACAATTGTATGAGGGCAAGTCATGGTGGTACATGTCAGTAATCCCTGCACCCAGGAGACAAAGACAGGAAGATCACAAGTTGGGATCAAACCTTGTCTACACAGCATGACCTTTTCAATAGGTAAATGTGCAAATAAGAAAAGAAAGAAAGCCAATATGATGGCACATACCTTTAATCCTAGTATTTAGGAGGCAGAGACAGGCAGATTTCTGTGAGTTTGAGGCCAGACACGTCTACATAGTGAGTTCTGGTAAGCTAAGGCTACACAGTGGGACCTGGTCTCAAAAAAAAAAAAAAAAAAAAAAAAAAAAAAAAAAAAAGAAGAAGAAGAAGGAAAAAGAAGAAAACAGATAATATTCAAACCATAGAAACTACATCTATGTAAAGGGATAAATAGTTCTGAGTTTCTCCATGAAGTGGGTTGCTTTTCAGCAGAAAGCCAAATAAAGTATAGTATTCTGGCAAAGACATGGACTTATACCACCTGTGTGGTATAAGGGAGTCTATTTACCTAAAATTCTAAACAGAAATCACAGCTAAACAATACAATGCTAACACAAGGGAGCAACATGGAGGGATGACTGGCACAGCAGTTCCTCCAGAAGAGGGAAAGAGGTGTCGCGGGGACAGCCAGAAGTTCTCAAAGGCACCACACCGGCCACTTGTTAAGTTAAATGACAGACGCATAGGAAACCATGCATGGTGGCACAGGCCTGTCACCCCATCATGTGGGAATTGGAGGGAGAGGATTAGAATTCAAGGATAGCCTCTGCTACGTAGTGAATTCAAAGGTAGGTTGGTCTTGATGAGACCCTGTCTCAAAAAACAAAACAGGGCTGGAGAGATGGCTCATCCATTAAGAGCATGTATTGGTATTGCCAAGAACCCAGATTCATTTCCCACATAACCGCTCACAACACTCCATAACTCCAGGTCCAGGGGATCTCATATCTTCTGACCACCAAAGGTACCAGGCATGCAAGTGGTACACAAAATTAGATGCAGGCAAAACACTGATATACATACATAAAATAAATCTTTAAAAATAACACAAAGGATAACATAGACAGTTTTAAATTTTATTTTGGGGAGCTGGAGAGATGTCTCAGTGGTTAAGAGCACTGGCTGCTCTTTCAGAGGATCCTGGTTTGCTTCAGCACCCACACTGCAGTTCACAACCATCTGAAACTCCAGTTCTGGGGATCCTAATCCCCTTCTGGCCTCCTGAGCACCAGACATGACATGGTATGCAAAATACCCATGCATGTAAATAAGATAATTAAAAAATAAAATCAATAAAATTATTTTATTATTTTTAGGCTGAACATGTGCAGTTGTATATGTAGTGACTTTTACTGTAAAACCGTTTTATTTAATAGCCAGCATTCTTAGACAACCCTCTATTTGACAAGGCAGGTATAACATGACTAAAATATTGATACATGGTAATAAGCACTTAGTTTTGAGTGTTTTGGCTTCCCAGGTCTCAGTTTCCCTATATACAAGCATGCTGGTAATACAATAGGTTTTGTCCTCCATGTGCATGTCCTGGGGTCCCTTTCTCCCTCTCCTCTGCCCCTCTCTTTTCTTTGGGACTCACATACACTCAGACACAGCCCCCAGAATGCTTATAGTGGTCCTTGATGCTCTGGAATGGTATCTCCTGGTCTTGGACTCTCTGGCTGAGGCCATCTGGCCTTTTCTGCATCTCTCAGAGGTAAATGGAGCTGGCTCCTGCCTGTAACTGCAGCATTCAGGAGGCTGAGATAGTAGGCCACTGGGTTGCTCAAGGCCAGCATGGGCTGTGAGGCTTGACCTTGTATCGGAAAGAACAACAAAACCCAGAGGAAATAAAAGGTCCATGAGCACAAGGATCTGTCCATCATCTAGGCCCCAAGTAGGTACAGTAAAGAGCTGTGCTGGTGTCACCTCTTGAGAGTGAGGGATGGGGTGAGTTTTGCAGTGTGCTCAGTGGCATTCTTCATAGATATTGGTGTCAATGTCCCTCCGTTCCATGGCTTTTCCTCCACTACAGTACATCTGTGGTGCTGGTGCCCTCCCGTCTTGGGAAAGTATTTATTTCAGGAAAAGTGTCCCTGGCCCTGGGTGTGCCCCCATCTCTGAACCAGCTTCAGACACAGCTTATGAGACTGAAGTGGAATGGCCCTGTCTCCATCAAACAGGAAGGTACGACCACCAATGCCTGCGGCCTCACTCGTACACTTGGAAGTCTGGACCAGGCCTGTACACCTGTCAAATTCTTGAGCTGAACCATGGAGCCCGTGCTATTCCGGTTTTGCACAGTGTGCAGAACCTGCTTCTGCAGCGCCTGCCTTAATTAAGCAGTCTGGTTGGCACAAGCTGCAGGCTGCTCAGACTTGGCGTGGCCAGGGGCGTGGCTAATATCTGGGGCGGGGTCTGGTCAGGGACGGGGCGGGACCAGCGCGGGTCTGCCGGGGGCGGGGCCGGGGCAGGAGCAGGCGGAGCAGGAAGGGGCGGCGGCCCTGGCCAGCTTCCGCGTCACGGCCCTTAAAGCACCTGCCCGCCTGTCGCCGCTACGAAGGTGCAGTCTGAGCCCAGGAGTCGGCTCCATGGACACGCTACGGGCTACGTCCGGCGCTCGGCGGGGTGAGTGAGTGTTACGGGGTGGGACGGGTGGGACGCTTTGTTGAGTCCGGCCTCGGGAGGGTCGCGGGCCGTGTCTCCATCGCTGATCGCCAGGACCCTACGAGTTCACCCTAGTGAGTGAAGAGGGGTGTCTTGGGGCACCCGGCATGCGCAAGGCTCTAGCCGGGACAGCTTCGCGTCACTGGTCCTGTAGCCAACCAGAGTCTCCCAGCAACTTTTCTCCCTGTGGGTCACCCCGGAAACTTGTCCTTCCCGGAATGCGACTCCGGTCCTGGGCGCTTAGTGTGGAACTCGAGAATGAAGGCGACGGCCACAAAGGGGAAGCCCCTGGGTCCGTCCTCTACGCACTTCCAGCCCCCAGTTTCCTTCTGAGAGCACCGCCCCTGCCTTCTAGGTCCCTTGGGTTGGTGTGGATGAGGACGGGTTTGGGGGTGGAGTCAGACAAGTTCAATTTTTTGTGTCACAAACTATGAGTTGATGAGGTTGAGTAAATTCTTACTGCCTGTGCCTCAGTTTCCTCCATGTAAGAATAACTCCTTGCCGAGAGCTCTTGAGGGCACAGCCTGAGATGACACATGAGGATGGCTTTGGGTAGTGTCACCTCATTTCATGTTGCCTCATCCTGTGGGGGAGAGGCTGAAAGAGAGCTATATTGAGCATACCTTGCCTCTGACCCTGCGTTCTGGTCAGTAGGAGCTGTGATGGACGCCTTCCAAGAATCTGAGATATGAGTGACCCCTGTGGAAAGAAGTCTGTCCAAGAAGCCAGCCCCACCATGAGTCTGTGGGATCTTGAGGACAGCCACAGCTGCCGGGGTCGCCCTCAGCCAGCCCAGGATCCTGAAGCTAAAGAGGCCTCTGCTGAGCTGCAGATGAAGGTGGACTTTTTCCGGAAACTGGGCTACTCGTCCTCTGAGATCCACAGTGTCCTGCAGAAGCTGGGGGTCCAAGCGGACACCAACACAGTACTGGGGGAGCTGGTGAAGCATGGTTCTGCTACTGAGAGAGAGTGCCAGGCCTCGACAGATTCCTGCCCCCAGCCCCCTCTGGTGCCCCGGGGCGGGAGCACCCCCAAGCCTTCCGAACCCTCACTCCCAGAGGAGGACAAGGACGGCAGTGACCTGAGGCCTGTGGTCATTGATGGAAGCAACGTGGCCATGAGGTATGTGTCACTTCTGTGGACAGGACCTGTGGCATAGTGTCTGTGACTCTTCCTTTGGGAAGAAAGCTTTGCTTCCCTCGTTTTCCCTCGTGGACTCGTGAGAGGATGCAAATGCTCTCTGGGAGGCCCCATGTGCTAGGAGGCTTTCTGAAGCCTCAAGACTTCATGAATGTCCTAAGAAGGAAAATAGCTCCAACCCTTGCCAAGAGTCACACTCCATGATAAATGGAAAGCAAGGATTCAAACTCAGCCTTCTGTGCCCAGATTGTACCTTGTACCATGGTCTCTCCTGAGACCAGTCCTCTCTTGGCCTATCACATGAGGCAGGGCCATGCAGGGGATTAGCCCATGGACTTGAGCTTTCTGGAGTTACTGAAGCAGTTGAGCCATTTCTTCACTCTCTCATCAGTCGTTCCTAGCAAGTGACCCTTCTGTGCGTGTAGAATATGGGGAGTTGCAAGTGCTAAGTTGTCATTCAGTGGCTGACTCCTCTGGGACCTCCTTGTCCTGGACTTGCGCTCCCACAAAGCAAGGCTTAGTTAGCTATTGAGAACTTCCTAGCCCTAACCAGGTGTGAACTGTTGGCCAGATCTGGCTCTCGATGGGTGTGTGCAGGTGGCCTGATGCTCTTGGCTTATGTGAGCCCTGATGGCATCTGTCTTGACTGAACAGATTCTGCTTGGGCTGGACTGATCTCCGGGGGTCCCCAGACCTCGGTGATTGTCCCCTTTGCTGATCTCTCAGGTATTGGGGTGGGGTGGAGGCAGAAAGGAGCCAGGCTGCCTCTGACCTTAAGGAGCCCTTGACTTCTCCCTTCCATCCAGGCCGCACCCTCCAGCCCCGCTTTCTCCCAGTTCCCTGCACAATGGGCTGGTGAGTCAGGACTGGGTGGATCACACACAAGGAAACGTTCCTGTTGGCAGGGACCAGGGGAGACCCCAGCAAGAGAACAGGAAGAGGGGAACTCTTCCTAGATGCCTTGAGGGCTCTTCCAAGTGGACTGCCCAACTTGTCATACTGTCAGCCTCTTCCCTGCCTGGCATTTGGTCCCACCTATTCTCAGCCCAGCTGGGTCAAGTGAGCTGTCCAGCTGGTCCTGGCCCTACTTAGCTGGCACATGGGGGCAGCCCTCTTCTACGCCTTTGGGTCCATGTTCACATCTTTAATATGGGCTGATCTTGGCTGAGAAACACTGCTTCCATGCCAGAGGGCAGCAGGTCAAACTTGTACTCTCAGAATCTAGAGTTCCCTCTGAGGTTCTGAAATAGGGTAGGCATTCAGTAGGCATTCAGAGGGGTCTGACTCCCCCTAGGCGTCATGGGCTGGGTGTTATGCGTCTTGTGGTCAGCCATGTGCTATGTGTATTTGTATCCTGGGCAGAGGAAGGAGGGGCCTGGACGGGAGGAGGGGCAGTAGTGGAGGGGTTCAGGAGAGCTGATACCGAGGAGACAGACAGCTACTGTCTGTGGGCCTGCCTCCTGCCTATCTGGTGGGGGTTTCTGGGCTGGGGTGGCCACGGAAGGGGAATTCCAGCCTCACACTTCCTGTCTCAGCAGCTGCTTGGTCCCTACCCTGTTGCTCCCCACACACACAAGGGCAGGCCAGCTAGCCCCCACCATATGCAAATCGTGGGGAAATTCACCTCTGTTTCCTTCTAAGGGAATTTTCCTCCACTCATTAGGCCCAGCCCAAGCAGTTCTTTTCACCTAGGGAGGTAGCCCTGCCTTGTCCTTGGGCAGGGGCTGGAGTCTTCTACATACACAGCCCATCAGGCTAGGGGCCCTGACCTGTGGGCCTGCAGGACTCTGAGAGTGGGAGGAAGTTGGTTTTCCTGGGCCAACCAAGCTTCCTGCATTGCAGTGAGCTGAATGAGCTGTTCTGGGCCTTAGGCCTCAAGTGCTCTCCCTGCCAAGAATAGGGCTCTGACTACCTGCTGAGGGAACATTCCAGTACCAGCACTGTTGGGAGTAGACTTGTCCCCAGCCAGGTTTTTAAGTGCCCAGAGGCAGTACATGACCTAAGGTCCCTGGTGTGGGATCCTCAAACTTGACTTTGCTGGTCTGGGAGGAGCTCCTGAAATTATAGAGAGCTCATGGAACATGTGGACACTGCACACTCAGGACAGTGAGCCGTGGAGCAGATGACTACCTCACATCTGGGGAAGCCAGCAGATTGCCCAGGGAAGGAGACAGACAGTTTGATGGGGTAGCACTGGGCATCGTGAAACCACAGACTGGGACCTGCCCTGGAAGGTGAGGGAGGGTTTCTCGGAGGTTTTGATGTGTCACCTGGCTTCCAGAAGGAAGTGTAAGAATTTGCCAAGTCCATCATCCCTCTGGTTCCAGGCATGCTCCTTCCTGTCCATATGCAGAATACAAATCACTGATGCTTGAGTTCGGAAACTACTTATCTCTCATGTAAACTTTGGGTCTTCTGTAAGGGACAGGGTGGCAATCCACTAGCCCCACACCCCGTTTTCACTTCTTTGCGGCAGCCAGGTAACTTGTATGAGTCCCGGAGTCTTCCTTCCCAGCGTCTTCCTTCCCAGCACTGAGAGTGATGGTCTAGGTGAACTCTGTGCCTTTCCCAACTATCAGGGCTGTTGGTACCTAAATACCAATGGAAGTGATTCTGCTTACTGGCTGCTGTGTGACCCTGGTGACTAAGTTACCCTCTCTGGACCACCTGAACAGGCAGGAGGGTAATAGCAGTGTACTTCTTGTGGGCTTGTTAATGATTCCAGGGAGAGCACAGAATGGCCAGGCTTGCAGCTCCAGTGAATTTTCACTCTTAGGAGTAGGCCACATGGGAGACAGGGAAGGAAGAGCGCTACCTTGGAGACAATTCAAAGACTTGTCGATTTTGGAGCCTCACCCCCCCACACAGCCTCCATGCATCTAGTTGCCCCATTTCCCACCCTCTTGGGTCTCTCCAGCTGTCACTCCCCCAAAGCTACACACAGGATGTGGTCTGCCATGGACTTGCCTCTTTTGCGTAACATTTATTCAGCCTTATTTGCCAAATATGAGTCTGAGTTGCTCACTGTGGGGCTAACCAGAGGCCAGGATTGCTGGGGAGGGAGCCCCCCTTCAACACTTCCAGGAACTCCACCTTACCAGCTGTCTTGAGCCTCAAGCCTTGGGGAAGTTTGTACCCCTGGTGGTGTGAACTAGCTTGTCTAAAAAAGGTGCTATCCACCAACCTCATGGGCAGAGAGAGAGACACAGACTAGGGCAACCTAGGAGTCAGCTAGGCTCCTTCTGAGGAAAGTCATGTTTAGCTAGAACAAGGCCAAGGCCTGATGCCCCAGCCCTCCTTGTGAGCAAGCAGAGTTCCCCAGCAATTTCCTGCCCATCTTTCTGCCAGGAGTCACACCCTCCCTGGGGCTGTGGGGGAGCGGGGAGGGGGGAGCGGCAGACATGCAGGGAGGGGCAGGCTTGCGGGGGAACTGGCCTCTTGAGAGGAAAAGAGGTGACCCTTTCACTTTCACCCTGGAGTACCTCCGGGCTGGGCTTTCATTTCCTGACCCCTGCAGAAGGGTGACTCCTTCACCTTGCTCTTTGAGGACCCAAGCTGAGACCTTGTGCATAGACTGAACTTTAATCCGGAACAGTCTGGTTTTTCTCCTGCTTAGCATGACTGGTGGCTCCTCCTCTGACGGTGGTGCCTCCTTGCCGTGTAGTGTTGAGGGAAAGAGGTGACTCAGCCTACATGTGTACATCTGTGTCCCCCTGGTCCCCATAACTCCTGAGTAGGGCAGGGTCCCCAAGTCTCCCATCGCCTTCCCCCGCCCCCAGGTATGTTGCAAGTGGCCCGCCCCTCCCCCTTTGCATGGGGAGCCAGTGTAGCCAGATTCCTGGGTGGATCCACACTTTGAGGAGATGGAATCTTAGGGAAAGTCCCATCTGGGGCTGGCCACCAGGCGCTGTGGGAACCGGCCCAGGGACAAGGCCTTAGGCTCTACTGGCAGAGGGCCAGGGGCTGAGTCCTACAGCTACCCAACAAGGCCAGACAGGGCCAGAGCGTAGCCCACTTCCCACTTCTGCTCCAGCCAGGGTGACCACAGACTGGCTACTCCATGAGCTAACTTGTCTCTCGTCTGCCAGCCACGGGAACAAGGAAGTCTTCTCTTGTCGAGGCATTCTGCTGGCTGTGAACTGGTTTCTGGAGCGAGGCCACACAGATATCACTGTGTTTGTACCATCTTGGAGGAAAGAACAGCCTCGGCCAGATGTGCCCATCACAGGTATGTATGTGTGCTGGAAATGAGATGGCCTCACTGTGCCAGAGACCCTGATGCTCCACCAAAGAGTCCTCAAATAGGGCCAGCACCTTCTAGATTATAAGCAAGGACCAGCCTGCCTTTTTCCAATACCTGATGCCTTCAGCAGCCCAGCTCAGATGTAAATGGCCAAAAGTCACCTTGTGTAGCCTCGAGGTGTCTCCCTCATCCTACTGAAGGGATGTTCAGCCTCCCCAGTGGCAGAGGGGCAGTATAGCTTCACGATTGAGACTGTGGGTGCTGAGCCAAGAAGACAGGGTGAGAGGCTTGGCCCGAGTAACCCAGGTGAGGGGCTTAAGTAGCTATGCTTTGAGCCACGGGCTCTTCAGCTGTTAGATGGGGCTGGGAGGTGGTATGCTCTCGCATACCACCACACACTGCTGAAGAAACAGTTGAGATGGAATGGAGTGTTTAACCCAGCACAATGTGAATGCTTGGTATGGTCTAGCCGTGGCCACCACCCTCATGACAGCCCCCACCTTGAGGAGAAAGGAGTGACAAGACAACCTCTTTAGAAGTCTGCAAGTCTGGCCAGTCTGGGGACACTTGGGCTCCTTCTGAACAAGGCTGAGAGCTTTGTTCTGAACGTGCAAGGGACAAAGCCATTCTTCCTGGACCCCTATGGTACAGACAGTGCACATGAGCCAGAGGGAAGCAGAAAGACACCCCTCCCCCGCAGGCTCAGCACTATTGCTGAAGGGAGTACTCATGCATGTGGTTTCCACATGGCTGGTTTCTGTCCTCTTGAAACTGATGTGAACAGCCTCTGAGCCCCACCACTGTGAGCCATGGAGCCCTGTGGGTGTCTCAGGGTCCCCAGCAGCCCCTGACCTGCACCTCTGTCACTCCCCAGACCAGCACATTCTGCGGGAACTAGAGAAAAAGAAGATCCTGGTGTTCACGCCATCCAGGCGTGTAGGTGGCAAGCGTGTGGTGTGCTATGATGACCGCTTCATTGTGAAGCTGGCGTACGAATCTGATGGGGTGGTAGTCTCCAATGACACGTACCGGGACCTCCAAGGCGAGAGACAGGAGTGGAAGCGCTTCATTGAGGAGCGGCTGCTCATGTACTCTTTCGTCAATGACAAGTATGTTCCTGCTGGAGGACCGGGAGAGATACTGGGGTGGACTGGATTGCAGCTTTGGGGGAGGCATGCGTAATGAAGAGAAGGCTGGGGCCAGGGGAGCTTTTGACTGGGGATTGAAGCTAGCTTGAGACAGACCCAGTGAGTTCCTAGATGGCTCTCTGGAGGAAGTCTATGGCAGCATACATCCCAAGACGCAGTTAGCTTGTGGCCTCTTGCTCACCTGAGAACTCCCAGCCTGGGGATTGCCTTGAAGGTAACCCTGAGCTCTGAACTGAGGGATCCCCTGTTCCTTTGGGGTAACACAACTGCAGACTCAGAAGATTTTGGGGGCCTCCTACAGACAGGCATTTTGGGGGCTGATCTGTTCCCCCGGGAAGGTGGCTGTCTAGCCCTTTCCTTGGTCGCTCTTCACGCCTGCCTACTCCTGAGTGTCCCTCTCATCTCCCGCAGATTCATGCCCCCTGATGACCCTTTGGGACGGCATGGGCCTAGCCTGGACAACTTCCTTCGTAAGAAGTCACTGCCTTCTGAACACAGGAAGCAGCCGTGTCCCTATGGTGAGACCCAGCTCCGTCTTGAGTAGCCTTTTTCACGTCCTCTTACCTGCCCATCCGCCTAGGCCTACCTGTGCCCTGGTGCCTTCCTTGGGGGGACCATCTGTAGTAGACCACCTAAACCCCAAGTCCCTGTACCTCGTCTTCTCGGTGGCACCATTTAGAGACACTCTTTGTCCTTCTTGCAGGGAGGAAGTGTACCTATGGAATCAAGTGCCGATTCTTCCACCCTGAGCGGCCGAGCCGCCCCCAGCGCTCTGTGGCTGATGAACTCCGTGCTAATGCCCTCCTCTCACCCCCCAGGACCCCAGTCAAGGACAAAAGTGGCCAGAGGCCTTCCCCTACCTCTCAGCCTAGCTCTGAGTCTCCAGAAGCTGAGCAAGGCAGTCTGGATGGGAAAAAACTGGGGGCTAGATCATCCCCAGGCCCTCACCAAGAAGGCTCAACACAGACCTTTACTGCAGCTGGGAGAAGCCTCCCTGTTAGTGGGGGCAGCTTTGGGCCCACAGAGTGGCTCCCACACACCCTAGACTCACTCCCATACACTTCCCAGGAGTGCCTTGATTCAGGCATTGGCTCCTTGGAGAGCCAGATGTCAGAATTATGGGGGGTGCGAGGAGGCAGCCCGGGGGAGTCGGGCCCTCCTCAGGGCCCTTATGCTAGTTATCATACCTATAGGTCTGAACTCCCGACAGCACCTGCCTACCCTCCCTTTAGACAGCCCATGGGTGCGGGCCACTTCAGTGTCCCCGACTACGTGCCCCCGCTACCCACCTTTCCAGCCAGAGAGTATTTATCTGAGCCATACCCTTTGCCCTCACCTACCGCAGTCCTGCAAGAGCCACAGAGGCCCAGCCCAGGGGCTACCAGGGGCCACTGGGGTAGGGTGAACGAAAGGGCCAAAGAAAGGGCTGGTGTGTACACCAAGTTGTGTGGTGTCTTTCACCCGCACCTTGTAGAAGCTGTGATGGGGCGATTCCCACAGCTCCTGGACCCCCAGCAGCTGGCCGCTGAGATACTTTCTTACAAGTCCCAGCACCTCAGTGAGTAAGCCAGAAGGTGGCTCAAGGGGCTATCAGGCATTGGATCCGTCTCCAGCCCCTGACCCACCCTCAAAGCTGGACAGAGGGATGAGTGGAGCAGGCAAGAGAATCCTCGAACCAAAGATACCATAGGATTGGTTCTGGCCCTGTGGCACCTCTATCTATCCCACACAGGTCAGAAGTGATCACCCTGTTGATACACATTGTATCTCTGTCATTTAAGGAGACGTTGCCGGTCAGGCCGTCCATCCGTGGCTGATGCCCAAACCCTCTTTTTCTCAGAGAGCAGGGAGGGAGGCCTGGGGGAGCAGAGGCCTGAACTAGACCCCACCCTCCACCCTGTCCCTGGGATGCCGGCACCACCGGCTAGTTGGGCACCATGTGCCTGCCCTCCGAGGCCCCCCTCAAGCCAATGCGGCTTCATCCCTGTTCACAGGGTGTGAGGCTTCATGTCAGTAAGCAAGATGCTTCTTATAACCCACCCGCCCGCTCTGTCCACCTACCCCGTCACCCCACCAGGGCTCCAAGGCCCTCTGTTCCCATACCTATTACCTTTCCCCATGGGTGGGAGGACACATGTATGCTGTGTACAGATACAAAATTCAAAATTTAAGTGGAAAGAAATGACAAAAAAATAAAGGATATTCTAAGTCCTTGTAAGAGGTAGTTGTCTTTGACATGATTGAGAGGGCAGGATAGAGCTGACCTGGAGTGACAAGGGGCCAGTAGGGCAGGTGGCATCAAGCCTTCGCCATTTGATGTCACTCCCTGTCCTCAGAAAGGAGGGTTTCCAGAATTGGTTGGTCCCTTGGAGCAGAGCCTGGATGGCAGGTGAGGTGTCCCTGGACACAGCAGGTGACAGGTGCAGGAAGCAGAAGTGTATGTAGGCTTCAGTGACACTGGTGGTGGCAGGGTAGAGTTGTTCCCCTTTTCTGTGCTGACGAGAACTGAGGGTAGGAAATGGGGAAACGACCTGCCAGACGATGGCCTTAGAGGGCGGGTGTCTCAGCGAGTGTGAGGGAGCCCTTGGGTGCTGCACTCCGGGCCCTCCTCCCAGACCTGCTATGTCCAAATAAGGGTGGCTGAGCAGGGCTGGGGTAGGGGCAGCATCATGGAAAGGCCCTGACACTGGCTTTGGCAGCTAGAGCAAAGGGACTGCCCCTCCCAGACCTCAGTTTCCTCACCTATGAAATGGGAATACTAATGGCAGCTACCTTACAGGTTTGTCACAAGGACTCAGCGACATAATACATGCTGAGTGTGTGAGCTGCCTCCTGCCTGCCACACAAGAACTGCTTATTAAGAGGCCTCCATAAGTGTGACTCCCGTGGGTGGGTTCACAGGACTGACCCCATCCACCATGTCAAACTGCTCACCAGCCTAGACAAGCCCAGGCAAGATGATACTGCTCTTTCTTCCTCCTCCTCCCTGCTCCAACCTCAGAAATGAACATGAGTGTTAAGTATTTTAAATGAAAGGCTAGCTGTCACACAGTCCCCAGACAAATACTATCAGCCAGGGAAAATGAAGGGGGAAAAAATTACGGCTTTAATAATGCTACCTTTGAACAATTCCTCTGATTTGTACTTAATGGCCGGTGCAGCTATGTTTTCTGTCTTAAAAACTATTTCAGTACAGAAGCTGTGATGCTGTGAAAGAAAATGTCACCCCAGAGGCCCTGCCCGCCAGCTCCCGACCCTTCAGAAGTCCCAGCTGAAGGCAGGGATCAGGGTACCTTGTCCCGCATGAGCTGGAAGCCTCCCTCCCACAGGCATTCAAGGTGTCTGTCGCAAGCTGGTTCCTCCCAGCCTCCTCGAGAGGTTTTTCCAGCATAAGGAGACGGTAAAGCCTTATTTATACTTTACAACCAAACTATATTTTGTAGTTCAGGCAGCTGGGAATGCAGCCAGTCATGCACAGAGTTCACTACTCACCACCTGGTGCTTGGGGCATTCACTGGCAGTCCTAGCATCTGGGAAGAAGCTGTGAGAGGGCCAGAAGTTCAAGGCCACCTTTGGTTACAAAGCAAGTTCCAGGCCAACCTGGCCTGCCTGAGACCCTATCTCAGACATGAGACAAAACACACAAGATACTCAAATGCTCCAAAGCGCCCTTGTGTTAAATGGCTGTTTACGGGCATCTGTTTGCCTTTACGGGATAGGAAGCTAAAATACCGGACTATCTAGTTCATTATCAGCTGCTTGGCAATGCTGAGTGACTTGCCCAAGGTCCCATGGAGGAAGGCAGGCTGGGGCAGGGCTTTTCAGCATTTGTCCCTGATCCCAACATCTGACACCAGTCTACCGTGACTCAAGCCCCCGCTTGAGTCTGAGAAGTGTCCTCTCAGAGAGACAACTGTAACAACCACCGGCTCAGCTGCTCAGGAGACCCCAGTGTCTGTAAAACGTAATGGAGCTTGGGGGCTGTGAGAATCAGGGGTCCTCTGCAAGGGGAAGTGGCAAACTCCCACTTGCTATCTTCACCAGAGTTGAAGTCATTTGCCGCCAACTGTCCTATGGGGGTGACATATGGGGTGACCCCACTGGCAGACAGGCAGTAGCATTAATGCCAGCAGGCTGTAGCAAATGTCAGGAGGCAGGGCCTGGCCCTGCTGGTTCACTGACAGGAACCAAGAGGGCTACAGATCCACACAGAAGCTGCCAACTGGGACTGGGCCCCCTGGGGAAGAGAGGGTCAGCTCAGGTCCTCTGTTGCCTGCCCTGGCACCCAGGCTTCCTGTCAGCTCAGCCTAGCTGGCCTAGCCAGCCACAGTGCCATACCTCCAGGCCTCTTTCTCAATCTAGCTTCCGGGCAGAGCTGCGCAGGCAGCCAGGCTCAAAGCCAAAGAAAGCTGCTTCTCTGTGACTTGCCTCAGCTTTAACTCTGAAGTTCTCAGCACCTCTTGTCCCCTGGCCCGCAAAAGCAGCTTAGATGGGTGGTGCTGGGTCACGGGGCCTCTCCAGATACTACAAGAGGATAGGATACCTTAGCTAGTGGCAGCCAGGACCCAGTTCAAGTCCCACTCACTAGCTGGGCAGCCGTAGGTGACTCACACCCTTCTCACAGGGCCTCAGCTGCCTGATCCACAGTGATCCACGTGTGGGCTTACTTAACGGGAGAGGGTGGCAAGGACAGAATGTGACTCCTGAGACCAAAGCTCAAGCCATCAGGCATGCTGCAAGGGATCAAATTCCAAGTAGTTGTCCCAGTTGCTCTTTCCTCCCGCTTTTCCTGGTTACTTGAGCCAAATGGCTGAAGGGGAAACTTGTGTATATGCAAATTCCCACTGTTGGGAAATGATCCCTAGGAGCTGGGCCTTCTCAAAGGCTCCGCCCACTTGCACCAGCAGGTGCTGGCCCCTAGGTGCTTCCGCAAGTTCTGCAACACAAGATTAACCCCTTCAGGGGGGCAGCCTGCTCAGAAGCCAAAATGACTTCAGTCTGCCTTTGCTTGTAGCCTGATACAGGAACTCTCTGTACTACCTGCCAGACTGAGCCAGCCCAAAATGGAATGAAGCTGCCAGACTGAGCCAGCCCAAAATGGAATGAAGCACCCTTGCTCTGGATGTCACCATCTACTCAGTCCCCATCAGGCTTCTTCAGGGCATGGGAAGGCCTGGCAGTCCCTGAAGATCCTGCCTGGTACCTAAAGAGCCACTGTGCAAAGCCCACCGGGAGCAGCTAATGCCCCGAACTGCGGTGTCACAGCTGGGACAAGGCTCGCACCCATCTCTGCAGCTCCATTTCTCACTCCCTTTCTCCCCACCACTAATGCCCACCCTCCCTAGGAACAGCCTGCACAGAAGGTTAACCCCTGTCTCAAGGTATTGGGTGAGCAGACAGAACTTGGGGGTGGGAGGGGTCATCAGCTAAGCTCCGCCAGCTAAGCCTAACCTTTGTCCCAGGCTTCTTCAACTCCTGGCTCATCTTCTGTCATTAGCTCATAGCAGATGGGTGGCAAGAACCTGTCCCGGGGACCTCCTAGTTCATGGGAAGGGTGTGGAAGATTTGGCTGGAAGAGGCAGGAAGTAGGGCACTGTAGTTAAGGAAGCACAAGCTATCCCAGGCCATGGCATGTAAATCCTTCCAGCCAGTTCCTGGAGGGGGAGGAGGCCCAGGCTGTAACCAGGGTGTGCCTCCTGAAGCTGCTATCAAGGCAGCAGCTGGTGATCCTAAATGGCATACCAATTTAAGAAACAGCAAGCAGACTCCGTGGGAGGAACGGCTTCGGCACCCGAGCCCACAATCGGCCAGGCGTGCAGCACCCTGCTGCCACCTTCTGGCAGCTCCTGGTTCTACTACTGACTGGACTGAGAGTGGCTTGCCCACCTGAACTGCTAAAAGCTCAAACTGGTAGTGTTTTTCAGGAGGCAATGGTAGGGGTGGCTGCCTGAGATTTGAAATAATGAGCTCTGGGAGCTCTTGTTGGCTTTTGTTTTGGACAGGGTCTCAGTATGTAGTGCGGGACTTCTTCAGTCTCACAATCCTCAGCTCCTAAAGTTCACAGGTGTGTGTTTTTTGTTTAAGCAGTGAGTTTTCAAGGGTGTTTGCATGAAGTTATGACAGTCCAGCCAATGAATTAGCCAAGAAAATTCTGTGTAAGGGTCCTGGCTTTCCTGGAACTCACTCTGTAGAGCAGGTTGGCCTCCTATTCACAAAGATCCACCTTTCTCTACTTCCCATGTGCCGGGCAGGATTAAAAGGTGTGTGTCACCACCAGCCGGCTGCCAAGAAAATTCTCGGGTAGAAGGTATAGCTGAATGGTTGAGTACTTACTTGCTCAACACATATCAATCCCTTGGTTCAACCCCTAGCATGTGTTACACACACACACACACACACACACACACACACACACACAACCAAGGAGAAAAATTACAATTACATATATTTCATAAAAACTACCATGAGCTGCTATTCCAAAATAATTGAAAGGAAGGTGTGATGCTTTTAATCCCAGCATTCTGGAGGCAGCAGCAGGAGCAACTCTGTGAGTTTGAGGCCAGCCTGGTCTACAAAGTGAGTTCTAGGACAGCCAGAGCTGCTATACAGTGAGTCCCCCATATCAAAAAGAAAGAAAAAAAATTAAAATGCTGTCATATGGGGAAATAGGCAACATCCTATCACTAGAGTTCTAGTATCAACTCTGGAGGGTACTGGAGTTGCCTAAGAAGCACACACCTCTTGACTGAGCAATCCTAATTTATCCCGAGCCCTCATCTGCAAAACTGATGGAGGCATTTCCTACAGCAGCA